CAACAGCAAAGAGCATCAAAATCAAAGGTTTTTGGGGAGTGTCAGATAGAGTCATCGTGGCTAAATTAGAGGGGAAAACCTTTTGACATAGGTGTCATCCAAATATATGCACCAACATCAGAGCACGACAACGAGGAAATTGAGACTTTTATGAAGACCTTGATAAGGCAATGAAACAGTTAAAATCACAAGATGTAAAGGTAGTCATGGAAGACTTTAATGCCAAAGTAGGAAGTACACGTATAGAAGATATAGTTGGGCCTTGGGGACTGGGTAAAGAGAATGAACGCGGGGAACGAGTGGTAGAATGGTGCAGATAAAATAATTTTATGATATCAAACACCTGGTATGAAAATCACCCAAGAAGACGATACACTTGAAAAAGGCCTGGCGATAGAGATAGAAATCAAATAGACTTCATACTTATTCAGAAACGTTTTAGAAATACAATAAAATCGTCTAAATCACTGCCAGGAGCAGACTGTGATAGTGACCATGTACCAGTCATGTGTAAAAAGCGGATAAGACTAAAGAAACTAAAAAAGTCAAAGTATCAACCTAAATTTGACATAGGTCTTTTAAAGCCAAATCAAGAACTGAAAGAACGATTCTCCATAGGTGCAAGAAATAAATTTCAAGCTGTAGAAAACATGACTAAATCGGAAGAACTATGGAGAACAATGAAAGACTCAATAATGGAAGCTGTGGAAGAAAATATCCCCCCGAAAGCTAAAAAAGCTAAAAATGGATGACCCAGGACATATGAAAACTAATGGAAGAGAGAAGAAAGGAGGCAAAATCAAATGTTGAAAAGTACTAGATCTACATCTTAAACAGGGAAATAAAGAAAAAATGCAACGAAACAAAAGAAACATGGATAAATGATCAGTGTCAACAAATAGAGAAAAACCAAAACAAAGACAGCAAATACATGCATTCCAAAATCAAAGAAGTAAGTGGGATAAAAGGATGCTCAAATACAGGATGCATAAGATCAAAGGGAGGGGATATTTTAATGGACAACGGGGATGTCTTAAACAGATGGTCAGAATACATAGAAGAACTTTTCAAAGATAATAGAGGAGAAAAACCGGTAATAAAGAATGAAATAAATGGACCTTCAATACTGAAAGCAGAAGTACAAGCTGCCATTAGGAAAATGAAACAAGGAAAAGCCACAGGACCGGATGATATTCCAGTTCAAGCGATTGTCGTGCTTGAAGAACTAGGCACTGAAATAACAACAAAGCTGCTAAATGCTATTTATGACAACGGTGAGATCCCAGAAGATATGATGAAATCAGTTTTTATAGCTTTACCTAAAACACCAGGTGCCACTGAGTGTGATATGCATAGAACAATTAGCCTTATGGGTCATTTTACAAAAATATTGCTGTGAGTAATAATGGGAAGATTGAGAACAAATGTAAGACCAGAGATATCTAAAACGCAATTCGGCTTTCTTCCTGACAAGGGCACCAGAAATGCTATATTCAACTTAACAATGTTAATGGAAAGATGTATTGAAGCACAGAAAGATCTGTATTTATGTTTCATAGATTATTCAAAGGTGTTCCATAAAGTTAGACATGATGAGCTATTTAAAATACTGGAAAAGCTAGACATAGATGGAAAAGACCTAAGAATTATCAGAAATTTGTACTGGGACCAAAACGCTGCTGTACGAATTAATGGAGAATACAGTGAATATAAGCAGATTAGGCGAGGCAAGGATGTGTTATGTCACCAGACCTCTTTAACATGTACAGTCAAACAATCCTTAGAAACATTGAAGAATGTCCAGGTCTCAAAGTAGATGGAGAAAATATTAATAACAACAGGTATGCAGATGACAGTTTTTATAGCAGGCTCCGAAAAGAACGTTCAATTGCTTTCACAAACTGTTGTAACAGAAAGTGAACGTAAAGGATTATTATTGAATGTAAAGAAAACAGAATTCATGGTAATATAAAAAAGCAGCAAATCCTAGTTGTAATCTCATTAGCAAAGGTGAAAAGATCAAACAAGTCCAACAGTTTAAATATCTAGGATATATTATGATAACATCTGATGCCAAATGTTCTACGGAAATAAAACGGAGAACTACAATGGCTAATGCTAGTTTCAATAAAATGAGCTCAATCCTGAAAAATATAAACATCTCAATGAACACCAAAATGAAAGTCCTGAAATGCTTTGTTTGGTCAACCCTTCTGTATGTCTCTTTAACGGGTGTACCAATGCCATCCATACTAGGCATAGCAGTTTGTATCAATTCGTCTTAACTAAATCATATTTTTCTAGAACAATTGGGGCTAGATTTAAAAACTTTTCTTCATAGATTTATATAAAATACTTGAAATCTCTGTCACACGTAAAATGGTATTGTTCACAGCACTTCCTGCTTCTCACACACATTTTGATTACATGGCCTAAGTCAAAGCTCATCAAAAGACAATTTTTACTTGCAAAACTTGTTACAAGAAATTATTGTTATAGTGAACACTTTTTGCACTAATAGCTCTCAAAACATGCGTTCAATAAGCATAATGTCACGATTAGAAAAACCTGACGGACTTGTTATTAAAAGCAATATTGCCCCAGCCGTAAACATTTAAAAATCTGCAGAAACCACCCACTTGGATTTTTAAAATTAGTATTTATTAAGGAATTTTCTAGAATACAGCTTGCAGGTATTTACAAAAATGTTGATCTGTTAAGACAAATTGATACAAGTCACTGTGAAAAATTGGAGAACCTTTATTCAATAGTTGAGGAGATATTTGAAAACAAGGCGCACCACGAATCGAATTTTTGACCACACTATATAAGATTTATATAGGCATTGTTCTTCCCGCACAAGAAGAAGGGCGCATGAAACTGTTCTTCGCAGCACCAATTTGGTGCGAGCTAAAATTTGATCCAAATTTCCGCTAGCCTATCTACTACACTAGAGTCTATGGTAACTCAATGAAGAATGGGTACCGAAACTGTTGTCTCTCTCTATTGTGGGTACCGAAACTGTTGTCTCCCTCTATTGTGTAGCAAGTCCTGGTGCTGCACGAAGTAATTACAAATGTTGAAATCTTTCAGTCTTCCCATAGTGAGCACAGTGAGTTGCTAGTATTGTTTCACTTTATTGCAACTTTTATGTGGTATCATTTAGAAACAGTTGTAAATATCGATATGGCATATCCTGCTGATTCTTACTGACTTTCTCTATAAATCGTAAGAGTAGCTACTTAGCCTATTGCGCATTTGCTCACTTTCCAATTATGCACCACCTTGTCTGCAACCCACGCGACGCCACCAAGAGATCTTTAAAGTGCGTAACTTGCACAAGGGTCCTCCGGGCTTTTTCGCCCTTGTTTCAGAAGGCTAGGTGTAGATCTTCCTTACCAGAAAATCAAGGGTGTAGCTGAAAGCGAAAGATGGCAGTAGGAAGGAGCCAAGGAGTAGCAGTAGAAAGGCTGCAGAAAGCGTCGGGAGCCCAGGGGGGGGGGGGGGGGAGGGGGGGGGGGCCCAAAGGAGGTGAGGGGATAGGGGCAGAAAGAGGAAACGAAAGCAGACGACAGAACATTGTTAGATTCCAGAGAGAATGAAAGAAGGTGAAAGAAGACAATTTTAGAGAAGTTTCGGTCGCCACCCAGATTCGAACCCGGGACCTTTGAAAGAGAGGCCACCAACTTAACCTCTAGGCCACGAGAGCCCCCTCTGTAGCTGTTAGATTTCCATCTCTTCTCGAATAAATTTAACTGAACATGTCAGCTAAACAGGCTAAAGAGACTGTGTCAAATAAGTGAAAGATGATCTTTTGCTTGTATTTAATTCGAGCTCAAACTGAGCAAACCACACCCCCCGCAATTGACGACAGGGCTGTATCTCGAGATAATAAATTATAGGTTTTCACGAGAAATAAAAAAAGCAAAGAAGTACGTGCATATTGATTCTGGTATTGTGCTCAATGTTAGGAGATCTCCGTGTGCCCCCCCCCCCCCCCCCCCGGGTATAATTGATCTATTGTGAAGACGATGACGCGGCTATCGCGAGGTCGCTATGGATTTCTGATATACTCGGACGTGAGCAAGGGAGTTTGTTCAGGCTCATTGCCAAAACCTAGGCTTGTGTGCGTGTGTGCGTATGTTTGTATATGTGTGTGCTCCTTCGTCTTTTGCTATATTATTATACATTAAGCTAGGTTCATCTAAATACCCAACAACATACACAACTACGAGGAGAAGCGAGCAGGAAATATTGAATTTGAATAGAGTGATTCATGTGTTTGAAGTAAGCATTGGATGTAGGTCGGAGAGAAGCCACGTGTTCCTGCATCGATCAGAAAAAGTAATACTATTGGAAATAATGAACTGCCCCCCCCCCCTCAAACCTCCTCTTTCTCCTTTAAAAAAAAAGAAAAGAAAAGAAAAATGGAAAGGGACCATCGGTCTAGAGCCATTAATTTCCATCCCAGGTCGCCAAAAGTAGAATTTGAGACTTTTAACGGCGGTTTCCCCTAACTTAGTTTCCGTATAGATCTAGGGATACTTCGGGGGGGGGGGGGGGGGGTTGTTTATAAACCTATCTCGGTAACTCTCTCTATATATGGCCTTTTACATAAAGCATTATAGCAAGGAGGTATAACAGGAAAAAACATGTAAAATGTAACTAACTGTAACCTTTTTGTTTGAGTCTACGGTTGTCATGGTAACGTCCGCCATATTAAAAACAAACAGCTATCATAAAAGTAAAAAGGATGTTTTATTTAGAAAACTAAATTTGTTACATTGATAGAAATATCCAGTACAAAATTTCATAGATCTAGAATGGGGATCTTGGATAGCTTGAAGGAAAAAAAGTTAGAGATGGCTACCGGGCCTGACCTACCCCATCATGCCTCTGAATTCGATAATACATTCATCCATGTAACTCACTCTTGAATTCATCGATTTCATTTTCCACCTGTATAAAGTTAGGTTATGGGATGAATAACAAGCGACTACCTGCCAACAGACAGCTTAGTCTGCATGCTACGTGAGATGAAATGCTGTCTGGAAGGAGGGCCCCCTGACGAATGAAGGCATAAAGACTTGTAACGTCGCACTTCTCGCCATCGACTGTTGAGCAAGTCTTGCCAACGGGAGAGGCTGTTGGCACAACGCGGAGCCTGACTCAAAGGCTCAGAATCAGACACAGCGAAGCTTTCGCTGTGAGAGTGTGCTAGAAACCGAAAGCAATCAGCAGCATGGCATAGATCTAAGCTTTAAGCGAAGCGAAATGAAAACTTGATCTATGCAAGTTTGATAAGGTAGGGGGAAAAGGGGGGGGGTTCTCTTAGTTGCTACTTCGGCCTGAGCGAAGAGGTGGGTTGGGAATAGGCCTAAAGTTGAATTATTTATTAGATCTATGATGTTGGTTGTGTGTGAGAGGTTGAATGGAACAGTTTTACATTGTTGTATTCAGGGACAAGCACACTAAATTATGTCGATAAACTGAACACACAAGAAAGCTCATTTCTCATTTCAATGCATACCAATGTTGGTTTTAATTTCATTTAAGAACTAGATCTAGCTTCATATTTTACAGAAAATCTCTTACATTAAAGTTACATTCCCTATTATTATTCTGAAAGTAGACCTACCCGAAGGAAAGATGCCATCTCTTTAAGTTTGAGAGCCAAACACACACACTGTTAGTCGCGGTATTTAGTGCGACCAGGTAACATTGATCTATTTTTAGACGTCAACACATGTTTAGTCACTAAATGCCGGGAGATCGATATCGCTTTCTCTGTCAACTGACGGGATTGTACGATTGTTTTTTCACAGCAGTTCTTAATTTTTTTTTATACAAACATGTTTAATTTCTTATAGATACTTTTCTCGAAGGGATTTATACGATATGAGTGGTTTTATTGGTATCAGACCAGCAGTGGCTGCTTTGTTTACGTTTTTCTCCAGCATCGACGATCGGTGCGGTGCCATCGTTCGGTGCCGCTAGTCGCTGAGTGACATCTTCATCCGCGCGTCTCAGAACATCGCATGTCTCAGAAAACTGAGAACAGAGACGACATGGAGATACTGCCTCACGAAACGCAAGAGAAGTAAAATATTGTGAGCTGAAATATGTCGCTTTGCCCTGAAATAAACGTTGATTCAAGTGAGTGCACAACTGAGCTTGACGCGAACATCGTTGAAGGATGGCTCAACGTGTGGGGTAGGGCCTTCTACTTTCTCTGTTTTTGTTTTACATCTCGTTTTCTAATGGTAGATTCTAGATCTAAATATCTAGAGATCTAGATTAGATCTAGATTTCTAGATCTTAGATATATCTATAATTGCGTATTGTTGTGCAGACTCTTGAGAGAAAAACGTGTTGCAACAATGCTTATATCGAAAACCTAGGCCTGGTCTCGATTTCTTGATTTTTGTTCAAATTATCTTAGATCGTAGCCAACCTTAGTTCAAAAAAAAAAAAAAAAAGAAAAAAGAAAAATGCACTGCAACGAAAGACGAAGTAGATCTAGAATCTAGATCTAGATCTAGATCTATCTGGATCTAGATTCTAGATCTCTATATTCTAGAATCTAGATTTCTAATCTATCAAATACTGTTCTTGTTAGACTTGCATTTTGCACGAAAGAAATGATGGTATGCAGATATATATATAGATCTAGATCTATATGAAGAAATATAATCTCTAGATTCTAGATCTAAATCTAGATTCTAGACTCTAGTTATTCTTTTGAGTTGAATATCAAGTCAAGCTTTTTGTGTGTCAGTGCGGTGTATGCTGTCGCAGATAGAGATCTAGATCTAGCTCTAGACTAGGGCAAACTAAAATAAGTATCGTTATCGTTTTCTATTTAATAGCTTGCCGATATAGTATGCCTAGATCTAGATCTAGTACTAGTATTTATTGGCATTGGTGTTTCGTGATTGATATAGTGTATCTTGTGTGTGAGTTTTGCAGGCTATTTGTGTGTGTCTCTCTCTCTCTCTCTTCTGGCGCTGTGGCTTCATAAACGGTCAGCGATGCCGACAGCACGCAGGAACTCAACACTCGCCCGGGGGTCCTTAGAAAGTGCTGAAAGTGGGTTACTGAAATGTCCCAGCAGATGGGTTCTAGCCTGATAGCTGGCGGGACATCTCAGGAACACATGGTCCATAGTTTCGTCCTCCTCCTTGCAGGCTCCACAGGACAGATCTGGGTTGTCTGCTGGCGCAATTTTGTGGAGATATGATCTCAGCTTGGGCTATTTTCCACCAGTTCTCATTTGGGAGAGAAGCCGGCGGTCCTGTCGTCTGAGCGAGGCCTCAAGCTGGTATGACGGCGGCTGGGCAAACGGCGGTTTGGGTTTCGCCTCTCTTTTCCACTTTGCGCGGGTCGATCGGTGGATGACGGCTTTAGCTGTCGAGAAATCGATTGGCGTGTCAATCTGGGTAAGCGCTGTTGCTTCTTTGGCGATGCTGTCAACTTCCTCGTTCCCAGCCAGTCCAGCGTGGCCTGGAATCCACTGTAAGTGGATGGAACATTCAGAGCGTTGACAGAGGGTGTGCAGATGTTGCCAGATTGAGCAGGCCATCTTTTCCGATTGGTTGGTAGGGCTGTAAGAGAGGCGCATGACTGCTGATCTAGAATCAGTGTATACATGGATGCGTACACTGTTCGGAAGGCTGCCTGCTGTATGTAGTGCCACAAGCATGTCAAGCGCTGTGTCGAGAGCTACAAGCTCGGCCCTGTAGCTGGAACAATACCGGCCCGCAGGTACACGTTGGTCGAGTTCGGTATCACCGGTCTTGATCAGTATTCCACTTCCTCCATACTCAGTACCGTGCTTAGCTGAACCGTCAGTTCAGACTTCTACATCAGGCAGGGGGAGCGAACGAATTGTAGCCTCTGCTGCTGCTTTCCTGACAGCTGGTTCATTAGCACGCTTGCAGTCGACGACAAGATCGGTGCTAAAAGTTTCCAGTTTCTGCAGATTGGAGGGTTTGGCAAGAGGCATGTAGGCGGGGGCACAATAGTCGATAGCTGACCGACAAGTAGCATAATATATAGAGGCTTTATATATGCATTCCCTGGAGGCACCCCAGGTGGTGCCTGTAAGGGCTTTCAATGGTCGAAGTCTGCTTGACAGTTTTAGCTCAAGGTTTTGGATGGGCATTGGAGGATAGAGTACGATTTGTGTGTGTGTGTGTGGGGGAGGGTAATTTAGTACCAGTACAATGTACACGCCTAGGGCCTACTGGGTTTTTTTGTGTTTTTTTAAAACAAATTATTCTTCATATATATTATACATATATACATATAGATCTTTATATAATAAAAATGAATATATATATATATTAATTATATATAGATCTACCTATATATAAAAAAAGATATATTAATTATATATATACCTATATATATACAGCCCTATACATGGCCTTGGCTATTCGGACTCAAACTCCAATACATGTGTGCAATCACCGGGAGTACGCACCGGATGTGAAGTGGACAGGCAATTCGACCTTAACCTTCCTCGGTTTCTACGATCTGGCCAAAAATTTCTAAACAAATTAGGAAATGTAAGCCTATTTGTAATGTCAAAAGTGAGCAATAGTTGCTTATCTGAAATGCTACACACAACAAAGGCAAACAGGGAAAAGGAATCTGAGTTAGCTCAAAGCAGTGAAAAAATTGAAAATCAATGTTTCTGAACAACAAAGGACTACTTGTAGTATAAACCAACTTTAATTGACGAGAAAGACTAAATCATTGATCAATTGGAAGTACGGTTAACAGTCAAGAAGAGAAAAGTTAAGACCCTTCCAAATGGAAAAAAAAAAAAAAAGTCAGTCATTCAAAGTACAGGTAACAGTGGTCTAATGGAAAGGTATAATTTTTCCAACAGCATGAATTTTACATGATGTTCAAATTAAATCAGGACAAAGCAATACATGTGTTATACAAGCAACAATATTAATCCTACAGTCTGAAGCAGGGGTATCAGCTCAGAACGTTAGTAAAGTCATTAAAATATTGTCATTTTTGGGGGACAAATAAGATGCAAATTAAATTTTAAAAACAGTGTTAAAAATGAAAGCAGAATAGAGTCAGTTTTTATAATAATCAACCAAAATGTAAGTCATGTTGAAATCGATACAATATAGGCCAATGAAAACATAAATTCCAGCATGCCTTTTTATTTGAGGTTTGAGTCCGAATAGCCACTTCGTATATTATGTATATTTATGTATATATATATATATATATATAGACTATACATATATATAGGCCTATTTATATAGACCAGAGGCCTTCTAGTTTGATATTAAAGTCACAAATTCAGATTATATACTTTAAAAAAAAAATGATATGAGCAATTTGCACGACATACTTTGAAAAAGTAGGCCTACAATCCTCTTTGCAAAATGTAGTTTAGAAAAAATCGGACAGCAAGACTCTTGCTTCTAATTATAGCTTTGATATATTTTTTCTTTCATGATGATTGAAAAAAAAAGGCTATCATTGTGAACCAAATTCCTGCAAACGCTGTGAAAACTCTACTAAAACTAAACTAAGACACCTCCACCCCGCAAATGAATTGAAAAACAAAACAAATTCAGATCATTTTATGTGAGGTGAAATCATTCATGTACAAATGCACAGCTTTGCTCTCAAGTGTGACCATGGACACAATTTCTCTAAATTACTGCACTTAGACGCTTGCAATGACAAGATGCACCCATCAGGTCAACATACATTATTTCTTCAGTGGCCTATCATCACTGCCTTCCTAAATCAAATAATGTATGTTTGGATAGTACATACTCACATGGAACCAGGCCGTGGTTTCAGATCAGTGGACGTTGCTTCTAACTGAACTTTCAAAGAGGGGGGGGGGGGTTAACTTAAAGATAATATATCCCCTCCCCCCCCCTCCAACACACACACGCGCATGGATCCTAACGAGGCTAATATCTGGACAAGGTGATGTCAGAAAGTGAGAACATAAGGGCAGTGTTTGAGCATCGGCTGTAATAATATTATGCACAGTGACCACAGCAGACTTTTCCCCTCAAACTTTTGAAGGAAGGTTGCTCTGGGTGAGAGGGTGTGAACTAAACTTCTGTACTCACCATAGTGCATTTTTAGCCAGGGTAGTTGTTTTGAGGAGATAAACAGCGCAGTCGAGATGTGCACACACTGAAATTATGGGTCAGTGTTGGTGTTCACAGATTTTGAATCTTCAAAAATAAAATTTGTCGTACTATTTTTATAGTAAGAAAGGTCGTTATTAGTGCAATGGGTTGCCGTTAAAGAGGATAATATGCCAAAAAAATTTGTAACACAAGCTTAAATTTTGTTGCTGTTAGTCAGAGGTTGCTCTAATCTATTTTAATCTATCTTGCTGTTAAGTCATCATGGACACCACTGTATCGGTCTTTTGACTGTGTTTTTACTGGTCATAATTAGTACTCTTATGGTTTTGTGGTTAAATTGTGTGTGGGTGAAAAGTATGTGTGTACGATGGGATATAAGATAAGAGGGAATATGTAACAGTATCAGTTTGGGACACCGAGTCAAGATTATGATGCCACTTATGATTGATAACGTTTGTGTCACACTGACGTTAGTATTATATATATATATATGTATGAGCACATTCCATCATGACTGCCTCAAGAACATGCATTTCTGAACAGGTTTTTAGCTGCTTTTTAAACTTCTATCAGGTAGTTTGTGCATTATTAATGGATGATTTGAGAATGACGTCCTTAGGCAGGAGTGATGCTAAGCTTTCTCTAAGGCTAAGGGTTAATATTTCTTTATATTTTGTTGTAATAGAAATACATATTCTATGTGTTTAATTTACATGAATGAGTTATTATTATAAATTTGTATTCATATGTGCTTACATGAGGGATTATGAGACTTAAAGAAAGTCATCCAGGTTGAAAAGTCTGGGGGAAATAAATATGAATATAATATTACTTGATAGGTAATACAGTCAAACCTGTGTAAGACGGCCACGCATTGTCAAGGAGAAAAGTGGCCGTATAAGACAGGTGGCCGTCTTAGGCAGGACTGATCAAGATGAAGAAAACAAACCCTATTCCAAATCGAAAGTAATAATAATAATAATAATAAATAGCATTTATACTGCGCATTTCCATTTCCTGAAAGATGCTCAATGCGCATTACAATGAAAAAGACATCACATCTTA